AAAAAAAATATTCATAAATAAGGAACAAATTTGAAACCGAAAGATCCCTAACTATAGGGAAACATATGAAGCTTTATACTTTTAAACTGCTCTCCTCTAAAATTTGCGTTTTGGAGTTACGGGATTATACGTAGGGAGTGACGATATAATTTGTTCTTTATAGGTCGGAAGGCGTAAAAAGCTTCACGTAAAGTTTTATTATTGACTTTTTGATATATATAGCATTACAAAACAAATATATATTTTTTTAAACATTTTACATTGTGTGTGTATATTTAATCATTATATTCCCGTTTACTTTAATTATTATATTATATTTGCGTCGCGACAGCACAAAATAAAAGTATTTTTCTATATTCTTAACTGCACAGCAATTTGACTAGAATCTAAAAAACATCTAGGGTAAAAGGCCCAATTACTGTCACCTGAATAATAAACTCTGGCGTTATAGTGAATTGTTTTTACTACTTATTTATCAAAAACATGTGTTTTTCTTTTTATCTGATATTATTTGATATCTCTAATATAAAAAACAAAATAATACCGCCTCTCAAAATCTCTATTTTTATTTATAAATTTAATAATTAAAAAAGAACGATGCGAGAGCTATTACTGTCACCTCTTAAAATGAAAGAAATGAGACAAGAATGTTGAGTGCTGGATTTTTTGTTATATTAATTGCACTTAAAATTCTATGTTAGATTGTTTTCATGCATAAATTTTTAGGATTTATTTAATATTTTAAATAAAATAGCTTAGAGTGACGGTAATTGGACAGGTGACAGTAATTGGGTCTTTTACCCTAAGTAATAATAATATTATTAAAAAGAAAAGCGCGATAGTGTTTCTAAATTTTGATTAAAAGATCGACTTAAATTTATATCTCGCTCGTTATTAAAATGCATCCCTGTACATATACTACTCACAAATTTTTTAAGTGTCAACAAAAATATAAAATGTGTATATAAATATTGAATTTTATAAATAAAGATACATATACATATATTTATTTATTTATAATGGGAAGCAGTGTGTTAAGACCTCGAAGATATGCAAATCACAAACGTATAAATTTGTTTCGAGGGCAATAATTTATGTGATGACTTTTGCTGTTATGTTGAATAGAAAAACCAGTATAACCGGTTACAGAAATATAAGCGGAAAGTGCGCAGTTCGTAGAGAAAGATATTTTCTTCATTTTTATGAAACTAATTGTATGTATATAACGAACTGAAGATGTCACATATAAAAAGGCCACCCGATTATCCGGAAAACATTCTCGATCCGAGACTCATGAGACACAATGAGAAGCTTCGTGGTAAGTGTCAACGAAGATCTTTTATACTCTTGTTTTTCTTTTAATATGTGCATAACAACAACTATTTATATATAAATATATATATATATATATATATATATATATATATATATATATGTGCATACAATGCATACTTTTTGATAAATATTTTCTTTAACATTTAGTTGTTTCGTTGTTTTTTGTAATAGTTAAAATGTAAGATTAATGCGTATAGTTGGCTGTTTACTTGTTTTATTTATGATTTCTTTCCGAGCAATAGCAAAAACAAATTAATAAAAGCGCTTTATCCTTTTATTAGTAGAACTTCAAATAATTGATTATTAAATGAAAATATGTGTCACAACCGATGTCGTAACCAATGTACTTATAATGCCTGCCAAGTTTTTTTTCTGCTTAATATCTTACGCTATTCTTGATAAACATTTGAAACAACATTTGGTTTATTTTAAAATTGCGTGCAGATATTATTGTTAGTAACCGCCGGATCAGCGATAAATACGAATGATCAAAAGAAAGACAAGCGAAGTTTACTAGTGAATAAACTCGGCACCTCAAGCTACGATTTGTCAAATGGTCTTGCAAGATATCCTCCCGATCTCAACAACGTAAGAGAATTTGAAAACGATGAGTCTCTGGTTAACACCCTGATCTCCGCACATCCCTCCAGATTGAATTACAAAGGAAACTTTGATAATATTAGCTCGAGCAAACTTGCTACGCTTGATCAACCAGCCGGATTTGTGAGCAGTGTGTTACCGACTTTAACGCACGGCAAGATCAAGCGGTTTGCAAGAGGAAGACCAAGCGACACTCCCGACCGCAATGTTCAAGTTCCATCGACGGAGCTAATTCCACCGGATTATATTTCTCCGTTTGTAACTCCGACGCCGCAAACTACGCCGTCTACTCTTCCGGTTAGAACAACAACGCCGTCTTTTCCGATTAGAACAACGCCTTTTATTCAAATAATTCCGAAAATAAGCGGGAGTATCCTAGACGTAAAACCGTATTAAAAACGTACATATTAAACGTTTCATACCTATTTAAAAAATATCCGAATGAAAATCTTCACATGTTTAAAACGTTTTGTAGATGTTTAGTTTTTTTTTTAAATATAGCCACGCCTATTTTAAATACACAACGAACTGAATTAGATTTACTTGAAGGTCATAAGCATTGAACAAATTCAACCAGACAAAACAATTTAATCTACTTGCCTGCCAATCAAATGTAATTTAGATTCTTATCTTTGGATTCAATTACATACAATTGCCTAGTAAGTAAAATACTCATTAAATAATTTTTTTTAATTTCACAGAAAAGAAGTTAAAGAAATTATTTATTTAAAAGAGATTCAAATTAAGCATTCAATAAGAATTTTCTAATTGAATTCAATTCGAATCACCATGTGTATTAATTTATACGTCATCAAAAATATACACTTTGCACATACATTCAGCGTTTGGCTCTAATTGTAAGGCTTTATTTTTTTTTTTTATTGGCTTTTTCCTTCTATTTTTGACAATTACGTTACAACACATTTTTGGTCACTTGATGTGTTAAAAACGCAAATGAAATTCTAGTAACATTTTGAATGAACACGTGTATTTATATCCGAATGACACAATTTATTTGTATAACCATGTTAATTGAATTATCGTACTTAACACAGTGATATAACGTAGGAATAAGATCGTGCGCGTACAAAGTCTCAATATTGCTTTGAGAAAAGTTATTTAAGCAAAACGATTTATTTTATTCGCGTGTCACTTCATTGAATAAAATCAAACAAAAAGCAAATGCTGTGCGCGCGGACTCTGACACATCGCACAAATATCAAGAACTTATTGAAAAAAATATTACGAAAACTACACATGTTAGATTGCAGAAAAAATAAACACATTTTATACCGCAGAAATATTTTGAAAACAATTCGAAAAAGAATTGTAAAACGCCGAGAAAATGGTTTGTGTATTTTAACAGATTTTCCAAGAAAGTTTAATCAGACCCGAGTTGCTAGATGTACAATTGACAATAAAAAATAAAACTTTTTTTATAACAAAAACATTGAGATTTTTTTAAATAACGCTCTTTTCCTCATATTTATTTTACTTCATTTCTTATTTAAAAAAAAAAGAATGTTTTTTTATGTAACATGTATTTGTGCTCCTTTGTGTAATTCTCTAGCGCAATTGTATCATTCGCGCTCAGTCAGACGCGGAAAGTTTCCATAGCCACTTATGAACAGTTCGAGAATACGTAATGCAAAAACATTTGCATATATAAGGCGTAGAAGTGTTAATGAAGAGCACAGATGTCCAATGGTATAAAAATGATGGCTCGTACATTTCAGAAGAGTTTGTCGTTTTAAAATGTCGTACGCTACACATCGTGATCGATGGCCTTCTTGGCCATCTCGCATTACACTTTTATTAATTATATTTGCGTTAATGACAATAACGTTGCGACGAGTGGATGCGAGTCCGTTGTCGGATCTCGCGCAGGAATACGAGAATTTAGTGTCCGAAAATTCGACGAACAATTTGACGGACAGTTCAACGGATAATTCAACGGCTAGTACTGACGTGTAAGTTTCCATAAAATTATTATAACTTTTAATATCTTTTTGCTACAAAAAAAAAAGAACCCATAAAAAAACATCTCAAAATTCATTCTGTTGTAAATGTTTCTCTTTGCGACTTTCAGATACATCATAAAAGCTGTAGTTTACGAGATAGGAGTTCTCACAGATACGGATAACACAACAAGTGGCGAAAGTACCGAGAGGTAAATTCCTTATATATAAATTTTCTTTACGGCGTTTTATAGTTTTTGATTAAAATGACTAGATAAAAAATGATTACTTTTCAACAATAATTTTAATTATAAGAGAAATATTTCACAAAAACGCGATAAAGTTCGATCTCTGGTTTAAAGTGGTTTTTTTGCAAAATTTTTTAAATTTCACAAAAAGATTGTCTCTAGAGAAGTTGTTCCTATACGCGATGCAAATCGATCAAGCATTCAATATAAATTTTTGAATTAAATTTAATTCGAATTATAAAATGTAAAATGTTAATTTACACGTTAAAAAGATATTTTGCACGTACACATCCAGGGCTTGGCTCTCGCTAACCGGACTATTTCTCTTATAGTTCAAATATTACAAAAGCGCCGTGTAAGATATGTGCAATTCATATGAATTTGTTAATATATAAATTTCAATATTACTATATTATATTCTTATTTATCTCGCAGACACGAAAGAATCGATATATCGGTGTACGATCCACCGCATCAGGAAAATGAATTCTCCTAATCCAAGGATTTAGTAAAAATATATATAAATATAGCGGACATACAAAAATTATATATATAGATATCTATGTTGATCTATATACTATATATATGTTGATAGATCAATAGCAGGAACTAAAATAAATTATTGTTGGATATAAAAGACTGCGCGAACGACATACTTTTGTTATGTATGTATATATATGTATGTATTGTATAACTTATTAATTTAATATTATATACACATAAGATGCAACATAAACATAACAAAAAACGTGTGTAGATTACGTTATTTGTACAAATTTATGAAGATGTTCAATAAGAAAGTTACAAAAAAAAACTGTGAAACGTTTTTGGATTTTGAACAATGTTTTATTCTTTTATCTTTTTTTTTTTTTTTTTTAATTATGAACAATATCGCCTGTACGCTATAAACACATTGCTGTTGCAAAATCTGCGAGGCAGAAGAAAGTCGCGGAACAATCAGGTAACATAATTCGCAGAACAATTTCTCACGCAGAGACAAATAATAGGTATGTATATATATATATATATATGTATGTGTACACATTTCCACACACACGCACATACACACATACACACACAACACATACACATTTATGATAGCTCGGTCGAAGCGTGCGCAACACTAGCGTTGACCATTAAGTACTTTCAACGCTATTTTATTCTGGAAGATCCTCATGAAAGACTGTAACAGTTTAATATATTTACAAATCTTTTCTTTGTTTTTTTTTTTTTTATTTATTTGTTTTTTATTGGAATGCAAATAAGCGCGCAAATTTGTCAAGTGAGCTCCGACTAAAATACAATTATCATGTACAAATTTCGACCAAATATTACGAAGGGTAATAAAAATACTCTCGATTCTTTCTCTCTTTTCTTCTTTTTCTGATCGTATCGTGTATCTTGAACTAATGTACATTCAGTTAGACAGTAGGCACTGCACCTAAGTACCTTTGCCTTATCAAAGAATTAAGCAAAAGCACTGGTTTGTGAAATATCGATCTTAAGTAGTAAACGGCGTTACAGTAACTCTTCTCTTGTTTCTTTTTCGCATTTCCGTATAATATACAAACTTATAGCGCGTGTCGTGTGAAAAATAAATCAAATGTTACGTGCGGGAGACGTGCGGAAATTCATCTAATGTCTCCTCTCTCTCTCTCTCTCTCTATTTTAGTCTCTTTCAATATTTTACAAAATTGCTTGTACATAAATTGCGTATCATCTAACTCATGAAGTTGCAATTTTATCCTCTTTTTGCTTTTCGGTTTTTGTTTTTATTTTGATAAAGACCAGATGTCAATTACGTATAAATACCAAGTTACGAAACTCTTAATAATAATCGTAAAATATATGCGATAAAAATGAACAATTTCCAATCTCTCGGGGGCATTTGGAAAATGTTAACCATTTGGGAGGGGATTTAAGAGGAAAGAACGAGATGTGGAAGGGGAAAAACATGTAGGTACTTACATATGTGTAATAAACATCAAATTATTTACTAATAATAGTTGAGCGTCGATCATTTTCGGCATTAGGATTTATTCAAAAGAGATACCCTGAAGTGGGACCTGTGGTGTACCCAGGGCCAATGCTTTTTTTCAAAAAGCATGATTAACGTGGTGTCTAATAAAAAATAGAGGGCGTAATATGCTTCCGATCGTTCGCGCACGACTCGATACTGATATGATTTTCTCTTCCTATTGCCATTATAGATCGTCTAACGTAGATAAGGAGGAGAACGTTTCATTTGGTCTCTTTAGACACTGGTACGGAATCTGCAGCGTCAACAGACGTGCTTCTCGGAGAAGCTGCTGCAACCGGAACGTCCGATTTCGTATCCTCGTTCTCCGTTGCATCTTTTGTGGCATCTACAATTTTGTTTTCCATTACATTCCTGTTTTCCTCCGCGCTTTTAGAATCCCTGAAACATAACCAACGAACATATCCAAAGAACATTAAAAATTATATTTCATTTTCTTTTTCCAGTCAAACGTTACGCGTCAATACCTGTCAGCCGGTAACTCTTTAATATTAACGTTGGCAGCGGAGACAGTCGGTTCTTCGTTAATTTCGCTTTTGTTGAGATCAGTTTTTCTATCTGATAAATCTATCTCGGATGGTTCATTTTTCACAAAATCTCTGCTCTGCGTTTTGTCATTATCGCCAACAATCTCGCAAAAAATCGAATCTTCTGTTAAGTTTGCGGCCGTTGTATCCATCTTTTCCTTAAGCTCGTCGTGCGGTTTCTTGTTTTCCGTATTTTCCGCGCTCGGAGTGTTTTCGAAACTTTCGAAATTAGCCCAGCCAGTAGATTCCACCGGCTCCGGCGTCACATCCCACGGATTGACAGTTGGGAGCGCGGGACCGGTACTTGCGGGTTCACCACTGTCCCAGGCTAAAATTTTTGCAAATTTAATAAAACAATTAAACAATCTCGAATTTAAATATATATCTTTAGAAATCTGTAGAAAAAAAAACATACGATCATTCGTGTCAGCCTCCATATGCATATCGGTCGGATCCTCGTCGTCCTCGTCTGACGAACTAGAATCCTGATGTTGTTGCTTGGAGTGCCAATCTCGTTTGTCCACCACAGTCTGGAACGTAAGTTCTCCGTCTTCGCCCCATTCCAGACCGCTACCGCAATCCTCAAGTCCGGCCTTTTGCTTTTGCTGACACAGCTTTTAACACAACAGTATCATAAATGTATTATTTTTTTTTTTTGCAATGATACACCAAAGTATGTGTTTATACTGAGAGATTCTACCAACCTTATTGAACATATCTTCTCGTTTGTCGAGATCTTCTTCACTGAGGGTAAAGGCCAACGTTGTTAATTGGTCAACTGGATTACTATAATATCATATTTCTTAACGAAAACAGCAAGAAAGAAGTCTCAATGAAAGATACGTCGCGCTCTTTTTGTGAGTGCACTTTTTCGGCTTTGACAAGATGATTTTTTTCGTATACTCCTTATTATTTTAACAGCGTTATTCTTTTATCAACTACACACTAGAACGAGATCTCGCGTATATACTTACTGAAGCGCATCATCACCGTCATTAAACTCGTCGTCGGGGAAGCCGAAGTTCTCGATGAACGGAGGCGTTATCTGTTGACCTTGATAAGTGGAGTACATCTAACATAAAGAATATCAAACAATATATCAAGCAGCAAGTCTGAACATACATATGTAATAGTAATATCTATAAAATCAACACACAAGATGTCTATTTTGTTTTTACGCACAATTTTTTTTCAAGAATTTTTTCTAATTTTTCTATAAAAACAACACATTTTCCTCCGAGAATTTCAGATTTTTTCAGACATTTCAAATAAGACACCTTGCGATAACTTAGATATAGCTTATTTGATGTGCTGCAATTCAACCTGTTGCATGTACGCTTCTTGTGAGTAGGAATTAAAATCATCCGGATTTTCTTCCGAGTTCATCAGGTACACTGGAGTCTGATCACCCTTAAAATATTGTCATCATTAAATGTATAATATTTATTTTTATTAATAATAATATTTATTTAACAATTAGTAATAAACTGAGAATCATCTCGGGCTCTTAAGTCTTTAAACTAGTCGATGAATATAATTGGTCGAGTAGAGCCGTTCGCTGGATGTTGTGAGAAGTTTTTTTCGCAATATTTTAAATTAATTTGGGGAGGGTATCCGGGGTCCTTCATATACGAGATGCAAATCTAGCATCCTATATGATTCAAATGAATTGAAATTACAATTCAAAAACTCACATGAAAATGTGAATTCGTTTATATATATACATATGTGTATATATATACAGACATATTTTCCGCACAACATCCAGCGAACGGCTCTACACGACCAATTATATTCATCGACTAATTTAAAAATATTTATTTAGTTTTATTTACAAAAAAGTAGCAAAAAAACCTTATTAAAACAAAATATATTAAAAATATATTAATTACTATCACATACCATCATCACAGTTTGATGAATTTTATTAATTTCTACCAACTGTGTATTCACAAGATTTTCCCATTTACTAAGACACTCGGGTGATAAATTGTTCTTCAGGAAGCTGGCCAGTATATTATTCTTTTCACACTGAGTGACAATATTGTTTGCGATATTTATCAAATGTCCCATGTATCCCTGCCGAACGCCATTTTCCTTGTTTCTGCAATCGGATTCCCATATTACAATATTCATATTTCTCTTTCTGGAGCTATGTAAAACATATTCCGCGAAATTTAATACTTTTGACAATCTTACTGTTTACTCTCATTTTTATCCCACGCTTCTAAGATTCTCTCTATCAACTTGCACTTGATAAATATCTGAAAATTAACGTGTGATATCGATTTATTATATAATATTTCTCAATATTTTTTTAAACAATTTTTTTGTGCGGCAAACATCTGTAACTTACATTATTATAAATAATATCATTATCCCGATGTCCGCAATTAATAGCTAAGGCCAGGCACTGTTGTACTTGTGTGTGCAAGAAATTATTCCATGTATATTTGAAAAACAGACCCTACAAATTCAGATTACAAATATAAAAATAGAAAATGATAAAATAACGGAAAACCTTATTATTAGAAACAAATTATACATCATGTAGTCTTACCAACAATGTTTGGAATGTTCCCATATTTGCTAAAGTTTCATGGATCTTTAAGTTTTCTGTTGACAATAATGCACTTAACAACTTTGCTACATGCAAACGAGTATTTCCTAATGGACATTCTAACAATCCAACTGTTGTTTTTACAGCCGGTTTCTGTAAAATAAAATTGTAGTTTATAAAATAGCATAAAAAATACAAATTAAAAAATTGTATACGATTAAATATAAATTATGAAAATATGTCTATACAAAGATGTTTTTTGAAGCTCTTACATATGGTGGATCTAAAAGAAGTTTATAAAACTGTTCCAGATATGGTAGAGTAGAGTTCGTGATCTTCATACATTGCTCATTATCCGCAACGTCTTCGGTATTATTGTGTACATCTCCCTCATTTGATGGGCTGCAAAAAGTTTTGACTATTATATGCCGCTTTATTTATCTGCAAAATATTTTGATATTGTAAAAATGTTTTAGCCATACTTGCTAGTTTTTTGACCTAAGAGCACCAAAAGCACCTGTATACCGCCAACAATACTAGTTTCTACCTTTTCTCCAGTTAGGATAGTGTCTAATAATAAAGTCACAGTTTCTTCTCTGTAACAGAATGATTATTGTTCAATGTAAAAAGATAAAACTCATATAACAATAAAAATCGCAACAGTAACAGTAATACACATTTACTCACGATTCTAGAGTATTTAAAATAGGATCTGGATCAGCACGCTCTGTAGATGTACGTTGATTTTCTCGAGCTACAGTCACCATATCGCAGAGCAATTGTGCAGCATTGGCATGTTTAGTTGCTTCTGAAGTAGGTGCTAACAATTTCACCAGTCTTTGCACTAAATGTTGACTATCTAACCACTATCAAAAACAAACATGTTACGTAAAAGATATATTGGCAAAAAGCAACTAGAACATTATGCATAGAAGTCATCTTACATTCAATATATTTTGGCGCATTTCACTGCCTTCAACCTGAGTAACAAGTTTTAGTACTAAGTCCATAATAGCAGATGTTTCTAAATGTTGCAACAGTAGATCTACACATCTCTGACGACTCTTAAGAAATTCTAACACCTGTAAGCATGTGAACTGATAGGAATACCAATTCTGGAATAGATGGAAATTTACAGGATGGATAGATGTTTTGGATGCCACAGGAGAGACAAGAAAAAAAGATTTATTACTTAACTAATATAATATTAACAATGCATTTTTTAAATCACATATATCTCAAAGAAAATATTAAATATAAATTGATTTATGTATCTTACTTAAAGACATTTGATATTCTAATATTGTACACAAATCAGATTTTCACAATTACCTGGTCAACTTTACGTGCGACAAGTACTCCAATAGTTTTACTAAAAAACGATGCGAGTAATGGATTTAATGGCTGATCTGTATCTATGAAAGAATATAATTTGGCCAAAAGTGCTTCATCACCTAGAAAAATAGTTTTAGAATATAATCTATAAACAACTCGCAAATTTAGATATGAATATATTAGCGTTTCTTCTTACATTTTAACAACAACATATAACAAAACTAATCAAAACTAATCAAACTATCTTGCACCTGCTAGTTTTTCGTTCAATGTAGGCACATCACAAGTGAGCAGCTCACAGGCGACATTAGGATATTTGTAGCGCCAGCGTTCCTCAATGTCCATGGATGGTTCTTTAATAGTTAATGTCACTAATTCCTCCATAACTGCAGGCCTCGTGAGACTATAAATTATTATTGCCACAGATTGTTTAGCAACTTTGATCCAAATATTATCACCACTAATTATATCCAATAAAACAGATAACTTGTAATACAAATACTGATTTCACTTACTATTCAACTAGCTTTTTGTTCTGACTCTTGCATTCTTGTAGGATGTCTTCCTCATCCATCAATTCGTGCAGAGTAACATCCTGTAAGCATGAGTAACAGAGATCAGATAGTTTCAACAACGACGATTATAATTCAGTAGGAAGGGGAAAGGGAAGGGTCTCCACTATCTCTGCCGTGAAGAATAAAAAAGAAAACTCGCCTCTTTGTTGAGTAGTGCCTCGATATGCGGCGATGACACGTAATTATTCGTCCAAAACATGGTGTCTGCTGATGTTGGGCTTACGGTTTGACACTTTAAATTGTCGTGCGGTCACGATTTATCGAAGCTCAGAACAATCGTCCGACACGCATTGGCGTGGCGCGTGCACGCACGTACGGGGAGGAAACGAAACGACGGCACGTTGTGCTAACTCACTCGGCCGCTGAGCGGCTAACATCGCACGTATGCGAATATCGTATTTCTGTCGATGTCTTTTCCGCCGCGCTGCGCGCAATCCCCACTATATCGCGCCTCGCGTTACTACTAAACCACCTCCAAACGATCACCACCTCCTCCGTTCATCCACGGTTGCCACTCTTCGCCCCGCCGCACCTTTTAGACACCTTTCGTCGGAGGCAGCGACGTACGTGATTTCGGTGATTAGGACGCAGGATGACGTCAAGCAACGAAAGGATACAAAAATAATGTCCAAGGTTCGAAACGTGGATCATCGGTCACGGGAAGCGAACGCAAGTCGACGCTTTCAATGGCTTTCAAGACTGAGCGGTCGCGCAAGCGCACAATACGCACGTTCTTCCTTCTCACAGATAACCGTTTCTTTTTACGATCATATAGGCCAGTATTCATTTGCTGCGTTCAGGCCTGTTCTACAATTACGGTCGCAAGCTTTAAGTCGTGAGAAATTCACCAATCACAATTGACCATTCTTCTGTGATTTTGTCTGTGATTGGTTAATTTCTTAAGGGTCGTCTACAATGGAGAGTTGTAGGCCGTAATAGTAAGAAATTGACCAATCACAGACAAAGTACAGAAGAATAATCGATTGTGATTTGTCAATTTCTTACTGTTACGGTCTAAAACTCTCCGTTGTAGACGACCCTTTACGAAAGAGTTCGTGCGGAAGACCTGACGGAATGGCGTATGGACTAGCTTTGAAGGTCCAAGAAGCCATAAATGCAAACTAAACCAAACTCTTCGGTTTCGGTTGATTTGTAAGTTTGTTGGCCCTGATATCAAGCCACGTCAAAATTAGTGTCAAAATATAATATTTAAAACAAAATGGCAAGTACAAAATAAAATAAATATTATACCATACAAAAGATATCGACAACTTTTATATTTTTTATATAAAAAATTTGTTAAGAGTTAAAAATTAAAAACATCTTTGTCTAGAATACATACTATACATCACATACTGTAACTATGAAAATTAATTTGCTATGAAATGCACAGAAACTAAAATACATTAATATAAATTAAATAAAGAGTAGAAAAAAAAAAGAGCCATATTTATATGTTAATACACTCTAATCACTTAGGTGGAAATCGAGTCAATGACGAGATATGTCTCGCCAGTAAATCCAGCTGTTTTTCCTTTGCTCGCAGTGGTATTATTAGGAATTGGAATATTTTTCACAGCATGGTTCTTTGTATACGAAGTCACGAGCACTAAATTTACACGAGATATAATCAAGGAACTTGTCATTTCTTTAGTTGCCGCAATATTCTCTGGGTTTGGAGTATTGTTCTTGCTGTTATGGGTTGGAATTTACGTATAGGTAAAACATTGTAATATAAATATTTATAAAGTCTTGCTGTAAATACAAAAGTTTTCTAAAAAAAAAGTGGATGTTCTAATTAAAATATTTATAAAAATTTTAACATAAAAATCTGAAGTTTTTGTGTTTGTTTCAGCTTAACTAAGTGGAGATAATGAACTATGCTTTATAATATTTTTTAAGAATAAAAAAAATCTGTATATATAAAAAATTGCATTATTACACTAAATAAATGCAAATGTTAAAGAAGAAATTCAGCTTAAAGTGTAATTTAAACAATGCTTAAAATAGACCACACCTCAACTCTGTGGTCTATTTTAAACATTAAATAAATGCAATTCTAAATTTTTTTTTTTTTTTTTTTTTAATATTATGCAGAAGTTTATTCATTATCACAATGAAGGTGAGAAGTTTGTTCACAATACAGGTACATCACAACTTTTCTTGCACCTTGAAAAGATAAAATATTTGCATCTGTTCTTTGCGCACAAAGATGTGATACTGATATAATATAACATAATTCTGTGTAAGAAAAGTATATCATTACTAGTACCATATATAATTGTTTTTAAATGTGCAATATAATCTCTCTGTATATCGAACACATATGCAGTTTATTAAACATTTATATTATATAAAACAAAGTTCTCTCTCTTCCTCTCATATACCGCGAGGACAAAATAGAGTTTATCAATAAAATAACTTCGTGCTTTCCAGTATCGGCAATAATTTTGTGTTCTATTGTCATTGCAAAATAGAATCATACTTTTATATAATAACACAGAGTGTGTGTGTATGTGTATGTATGTGTATATATAATGTATGTATTGATTGAAATAGAACACACGCGAAAAGTTTTCTTTAACCAGCCAGACCAGCTTTCTGCCGACATTTCTGCATTAATGCCCTTAGCATAAATTGCCTGCGCGACAATTGTCGAACTTGTTTAAGGAAAGCATCCAAATCTATAATGCCAGATCGCAGTCCCTCGCCAAGATAATAAATGGCATCCTCTGTAGCTGCTTCTTCGGCAAAAGCATTTAGCATTCTATAAATAAAAATATGAAATTAGAATCGTATTTTCAACTAATTATTCTTAATAAACGTGTCTGTTAAATTTATTTCATCGTAAAAAATTTATATATGCTTACTGTTTATACAACGGCGCTATAGTAGTGACAGCTTCATCAACGTCTATCGATTGGTTATCCGACAGCTTGGCGATCTCCTTCTCCAACTCCGCTTCCTTATCTTGCAGGATATTCACATTCTTCTCAAGTTCTTGCTTCTCTCTCTCGAGTTTCTCAAACAAATCCGTCAGATGAGACGAGCCACTCGTAAGCTCTTGCTGTGTTCGTCGCAGTGTCTCTAGTTCAGCTTGCAGTTGTGAAAATTGCTCCTTGAGCCGACGTCGCAGTTTATCCTCTACCGCGGATAGCAAAGATGCCCTTATATGTTCTTCCGTGATCGTACCAGATCCGCCAGAACTCGGTTGTACCGTCGGTGACTATGGAATAACAACATTCAAACATACAATATTTTATTCAATTTACTGGACTTATTGACTGTTATGCTGCGTTCGGAAACATTACCTATGTGCACACAAGTGACATCCGAACGCAGCCTTATGTACAAATACAAACTTAATAATCATAAATCAAATTTATAAGCACGTATTACATAGGCTAAGGTAATAAGGTAAAGGTAAAAAGGTATAAAGAATGTGGTACCGGTTGTGTAGCTGGTGGATATGGCGAATACGGACCATTGTATCCTTGCCGCGGATAACTTGGAGTGGATCCAGCATAGGAACCATAAGAACCTGGATATGGAAATCCTCCGGACGCTGTGGATGGATACGGTGGGTAAACATTGCTACCACCAGAATATTGAGAATTTGTTGGATACGGTGCAAAGCTTGATACACTTCCACTGCCAGGTACAGGCATGAATGCTACAAAGAGATTTAATGAAAATGACAAAATAGATTAGATTAAAATATATGAATTTGTAATGTTCAGTTACTTCTGTTGTAAAAGTTACTTACGTTGAACGGGGTACGGTGTAGACTGCTGTATTTCTGATTTTGTTTTGGCGTAAACTGGAGGATAGTCTCCAAAAGTTACAATCATAACTTGAATTAGATCAAGCAAATCTGAATTGTGCTGCAAAACAAACAGATTAAAAGAATCATTATCAAATAATTGTAAACTATCAAATAGGTGTAAACTATTCTGACAAATAACAATCAAAATATTATTTTTATGGTTTCTAATATATATATATATAAACAAATCTGTTCTCTTTATTAATAATCTTTTATAGAAATTATGGAAATACTTACTGGCAACCATTCGTGGAGATATGGCAAATAAATTTTACCATTGTGATCTACATACATACTGACTTTGATGTGCATGTCTGCTGTTGGCTTAACATAGCACATAGGTGCATTATTGGGATGTGTATCCATTAGCCATATGCAGATTGGAATATTATAAGAAGTACCTAACGTAAATAAAAGCAATTAAGATGTTTAAAAAATATATATATATACTCTATTATAATATATTTTATAATTACACATTAAAATTATACATTAAACATTATTTTATACATTAAAGATTCTCTATTAAAAACTCTTACCTTTATAAACAACAGGTATGGTTCCTTGTAAATTAAGTAGTTCTTTGCGCGAGCCATCATTGAAAACTAATATTAAACAGTATGAATCAATTAACAAAACTTTGACGTGTATCAACTTGTGTACATATATAATCAATTTATCAAGGTTTACTTACCAAAAGGCTCAATCTCATATACTAAGCCTTTGTAAACATTTAAAACACTTGTTACATGATTCTTTGTTATGTCTGCATTCTGATACTAAAAATATAAATAATAGTCTTATAGCACAAGATTGTTACAATTATTACAAAATTGTAATCACAATGACAGTGATATCAATGTTAGACATAATCTCATATACCTTGGATAGGCCCTGTCTAATCCTCCCTTCATCCAATGGTGTCATCTTCACCATTTAGCACAAAAGATTGACACTAGGAGATAGGAGCGAGAAGCTCCTTGTTCTCTAGTCAACTTTTATACGTGCGTAATTATGTCTCTTCTTTGTCTCACGCCGTTTTGCGATATGACGTCATGTAATCATTGATTTTCGCGTTAGTTACACGTCTTGCTATCATTAGATGACGAGAAAAGTATGCGTGAACTCTTCACTGATCTGTCATCGAAACCATTTCCGTGAAGCAATTGCACATAAAATTACTTAGGCCTGTTCTACAATACAGTCGTGAGTTGTAATTCGTAAAAAATTGACCAATCACAATCGATTTCTTCTGTGATTTGTATGTGATTGGTCAATTTCTTCCGACTTACAGCTTACAACTGTATTGTAAAACAGGCTTTAGGCCTGTTCTACAATCATTTTCTACAGTCATTTCTATTAGTTTATTTCTATTATTTCTAATAGTCTACGTCTATTCACGCGTATGTGCGCATTTATCTATACTATACGTGACGTGTACTATAGATACATGCGCGCATATGCGTGAAACGGAACGCAGTTCCAGACTTTTGCATAAAGCCCGTTCTACATTGGGTGCGTTCAGACAACTCAACAGTTGCACAACGGTTGAGAGATAATCACTTCTGATTGGATCATACTTTTGGGACCGCAGCAGATTTTGAAGAATAGTCCTATCATAAGTGATGATCTCTCAACCGTTGAGTTGTCTGAACGCACCCATTGATCGCAAGCGCAAACGCAAGATAAAGATCTTGTAGAATTGACCAATCACGCTGGCCAATTGGCTGAATTGATCAATACGATTAGTCAATTCTATCAGACCTGTTTCTTGCGTTTGCGCTTGCGATCAATGTAGAACAGGCTTAAAGGCCATTCTACATAAAGGGTCGTCTACAATAGAGAGTTGTAGGCCGTAATAGTAAGAAATTGACCAATCACAGACAAAGTACAGAAGAATAATCGATTGTGATTTGTCAATTTCTTACTGTTACGGCCTACAACTCTCCATTGTAGACGGCTCTTAAGACGCAGACGCAGGTCGCAGGCCGCTGATCTCGCGGATTTGACCATTCACGTTTGTCAAATCAGCCAATCGATTTACGTGATTGGTTAATTCCTCGAGATCAGCGGCCTGAGACCTGCGTCAGCGTCTTAAGCCCATTCTACATAAAGAGCCGTCTACAATGGAGAGTTGTAGGCCGTAACAGTAAGAAATTGACAAATCACAATCGATTATTCTTCTGTACTTGGTCTGTGATTGGTCAATTTCTTACTATTACGGCCTACAACTCTCCATTGTAGACGGCTCTTTATGCGTTATCTTATTTGTATACAAAAGAACTAATACTTACTTTATAGTTGAGTTAATTTACTTCTTGTGTTGTTTTTTGTAATCTTTGCTTTTTGAATTATTATTACTATTATGTTGCAGCTTTGTGATTTAAAAGATATATATATTCGTATACATATATTCGTATAGTTGTCACATCGAATATCTTGGATATAATCGAATCGAAGGTGTAGTCAGAATTCACTCACTATTTTGTATTCACTATTATCTTTTTACATATTATTTTTCCACAGTCACTATATAACAAGCGAAACTTCCAAGCGTTAATCGGAGAGGGACACTCTTGCGTCACACCTCTCTTGTAAGACACGTCTGTCACATCTGTTCATTGATAACAACAATGTACTCGATGACATTGCGTTGTCATTCAAACATTAAATAGACTTACCATTCTTTTTCGAACCTTCGGCATCAATGGAAAAGAAGTTCTATCACTTGTATTTTCAATCAATTAGGTTATGACAATGATTCGGTCGATTCCGTACAAAAATATGTTTTTGCAGAACGAAAAGTGTAGAATCGAGCCACGACTAATCACAAACGTTCCGCCATCTAACTTCTAAATTGCGGATCTACAGCCAATTTTTTCACTTCTAGCAGCCAATTTTTTCACTTCTAGATAAGTTTTCGATAACTTTATCTAGACGATATCTCACAAAATTGGTTCTCCTTATTGGTTCTCAGAGGAATTTATCCAGAGAATAGCTATCGAGAGGTATGAGGAAATCGGCCGTTAGTCCGCCATATAGAATAGATATTATCTTTTTAAAAAGCATCAAAGCAATGTATGTTATTTTTTACTATGCCAAAATAAATCAATTGCCTATCTAGGCTGCGTTTGAGGAGCGCATTGTCACAGCGCTGTTGAATCAATTCTACCTTTATTGCTCATTATATGTAAAACAAAGATAGAACGACGCAATAACGCCGAAAGCGTGCTCCTTGAACGCGGTCCTAGTCCACTCACTTCACTTTACCTTTATCTCCCCAACTAAAAATATCCTTTCATATCCATTCCCATGCGTACCGAGAATGGCGTATGGACTACCCTTTCAGTCCACGAGCCATAAATGCACGAAACCACCATCGACGGATGCGAAGATTGAATCGAGAGGATGTTTATTGGTTTTGCTAAGCAATCAGCAATGTCACGTGCTGCAATCGCAAGTTATTAGATTTATATATATTATCAATGTTTTAAATAAATCATTCCCATAATCGCTTTAAGAGGTTTAGGTTTCAACCTCTTTTTTGAAGATATACGTGCTAAACTAAAATTGTTTTTAAATATTCGTACGATAACAAAGATCTTGATGTATATAAAAAATTTATGCATATCTATATATGCGAGAGAATAAAATTTGTATGTTATTACACTGCGCGCAAAGGTTATCGATCATGTGATACAGCTTGCAACAAATTTTAAATTGCTTGTGTTTTGTATTAAAATTCTATATATTTACAGATGTAATTGACTAAAATAAAAAAAGTACAAATTATATAGTATTAAAATTTGAAGATTTTTATTTATTTTATTTATTTAGTATTTGCCTCAAAGATATTAGAAAAAATTATATCGTGTTAAAACATAGTTCTTTTTTAGTTATAGTATTTTTATTTATAGTATTGTAAAAAATCTTTTTTGTGAAAATATAAAAGTAAGAACTTCTCATATAGAGCTTTGAATTTGTTTGCCAAAGTTTTTGGAATATATAATTTATAAAATATATGTACAAAAATACTCTTATCTAAGAACTTATCTAAACATTATTTATACATATTTGTTTAAATTATTGCATCTTATTAATTGTAATGATAGATAGATAATTGTATTAGCCTCTTTATGGTTATAAGAACACTTGTTTTCTTAGTTTTACTATTATTCCTCCAGTTTACATTATATATCTTAACATTTTTATATAGCGTTTATATTTATACTAAATTTATCAATTGTATAGTAATTGATATTTGTGCTTCTTTTTGCAGGTGTGTCCAGTTAATTTAAACTGAAAAAAACATTTAAAAGATCTTTTCCTATACACATGCTTCCTCTGAAAATATATAGGCAATCATGTAGAGCCTAGAAACAAATAGATAGAAGATGAGCCCGTATTTGACAGCTTTGACTTCAACACGAAGGCGATGCCTAATCGTGTTGTTGCTGATCCTAGGACCATGTGTGATCTTAAACTTACTAACATCCTCAGACATGCGTGAAGAAACCATATTGCAAAATAACATTGCTGAATTGCAAGTGAAACTGGAACATCTGCATGCCAAATATATTGGCAGTCAAGAAGAGATAAGTCTGCTTTCACATCAACTACTTCAGTTGATTGAGAATAGTCACATTCTACCCGATCTGCAGCTGCTCATCAACAATGGCACCTCTAACATTACAAACATCAAGCTGCCATCAATCTACAACTTTTTACCACATTTTCTCAATGATCCAAATAGCTTGCGTCCAGCTTTTGTACAAAGCAAAGGTAGATCAGGAGTAAGCATGGTACTCGGGGTGCCAACAGTGAAACGAGAGACCCAGTCTTATCTTATGGCAACTTTAAGAAATCTGCTTGATCGTATGAGCGTTGCAGAGACTGCAGATACACTGATTATTGTTTTAGTGGCTGAAGTGAGTAGAATGATTAAGTACAGATTAACATATAAATCATTATTTTATTTATTAGTGTTAAAAATAACACATTAATGTTAAAAAATATGTGTATGTATATTTAAAACTTTCTTTTCAGACAGATATGGATTACGTGATGTATGTTGCAAAACAAATTGAAGTTCAGTAAGTTTATATTTTATTTTTCTTTCCTATTTATTTTTTTTCCTATTATCTTCTATATTTTTTAATACAGTGTTTTCTTTACAAGTACTTTTATTTCTTATTTTAGATTCCCGAACGAATGCGAAACTGGTGTAGTAGAAGTAATATCTCCATCGCCGTCCTATTATCCGGATTTGTCGAAATTGCGCGACACTCTTGGCGATGATCACCAACGTGTTATTTGGCGGTCCAAGCAGAATTTAGATTTTGCCTTTCTCATGTCTTATGCCCAATCAAAGGGCACATTCTATGTACAATTAGAAGATGATATTCTGGCTAAGAAGAACTTCATAACTACTATGAAAACTTTTGCATTACAGAAGATTGGTACAAAAGAGAATTGGTTCGTTCTCGATTTTTGTCAGCTCGGATTTATAGGTACAGTATCATTTTTATATATGTATATGTGCGTACACATATTGAGAAAAATATTAAAGTGCATTAAAATACAGGTAAGTTGTTCAAGTGCGTGGAACTGCCTTGGCTGATCCAGTTCTTTTTGATGTTCCACAATGACAAGCCTGTTGATTGGTTATTGGATCATTTAATATCGACAAAAGTATGCAGTCTTGATAAAGATAGTGTAAGTATAGAAAGAATGGGAGAGAAATGTATAATGAAATACACTGATCTCTTTCGAAGAAATTTTTTTTTTATTTTTCTTCCAAATAGAAACACTGCAAAATGGCTAAAGCAGAGTTGTGGGTGCATCATAAACCCTCTCTTTTTCAACACATAGGGACGCATTCTTCTTTAAAAGGAAAAGTGCAAAAACTTAAAGTAAATATTACTCGCTTTAAAAAATTAATAAAAAATGTTCTCTCACTATGATCATATAGATTACATTACAAGTATCATATTTATGTAGGACAAACAATTTGGTAAGATAACATTGTTCTATGCCCACGAAAATCCCGAGGCAACTGTGGAAACTCAAATTAAACCTTACAAACAATACACGTTACAAAAAGCTTACAGAGGCGAATCATTCTTTTGGGGCCTGTTGCCACAGCCGGGAGACCACTTAAAGTTTAAATTTTCACATCCTATTTTTATAAAGAAGTAAGTTTATAGTGTTATTAGTAAGATTGTCAGTGCAACGTTTTTTTTTTTTCAAACTGAGAATTGCGATACATGTACATTAAATTGCGTTTTTTTTTTCTGTGTACAGGTACTTATTTAGAAGTGGTAATCCTGAACATCCGTCTGATAGATTTTATAACACAACAGTAGAAGTATTATCCGAGAGATCTCCGTTATTGGATCGGAACAACAACGATGTAACAGAAGATGGTTATTATATTATAGGTAAGAAATAAAACTGAGATTTTATAATTTATCAATCTATTACGTAGTTTATTAAACAAATATGTTATTTAAATTAAATTAGGAAAATTTGATGCACTTGGCATCGCCGAAGGAACTGTCAATCGAAATTTGGGCAAGATATCGGTTCTTCGTTTGACCGTACATAGTGAGAGCGAAAACTGGGCCATTTTGTCTGAGGTAAGATCTCATGATAATATCGTCTTACAAAGTTTTTGTTAATTGACTCGTTTGTGAGAATATAATTTTTTTTTTTTTTTTATTAGATCCATATAGTAGAGGATCAACCTAGCTGACGAAAAGAAGAAGAAATGCAATTTGAAATACCGTTTCTTCGATACGGATAATAAAATCGATTTTTAAATACTTATTTTTTAAATATTTTTTATTTTTCTGTATTATTACTTATTAAATCAATCAATAGTTAGTTCAATGCCGTCCGAAAGATGATTAATTTATCCAAAAGATGAATGGTTTTTGAAACTATATTAATTGTGAAACACACTTTGTTTTTAAATTGATCGAGTGTTTTATACATTTAACTTTTTTCTGTTTTATTTATTTGATCAATTAAAGTATACGTCGCGAACAAAATGTATTATCATCATATATGGATAAATTCTATATCTAAGTTAAAAAATAATGTCATAATAATATATGAAATTGACATCTCACATATGACGTGATTGTATTTAATACGTCAGATATAAAATTTGTTCATATATCAACAAATATGATATTCTATGAAGAACTTTTTTTCAAGGTAATGCTTTTTCGTTAAAATGCAAACAATCAGTGATAGTAATAATTTGTTTTTAATGATAATCTTGTTTCCTAACACATGATTTATTGAATGCGTACATAACACATCGTGAAATCGTATTTATTTTAGCGTAAATGTTTGCATTTTATAAAATATAGTGTCTTAATTTGAGGCATTTAACTCGAACCAGTACCTGCATCATTCGTGTGCTTCGATTTACTGTCGATGTTCATTACTGACTTACCTGCGCGTTGTACAGCTTCACGTACAAGATTCATGACTCGCGTTTACCTCCGAGTAAATAAAACTGTTGAATCCTTATTGCGCACTGAATGTATTGATCAAATGATCTTTAATATATTGATAGCGTGTATTCACTAAATCGGACTTACACATGTGACGCTAGAGAAGTATAAACGCAGATATATATATTAAAGAACAAGATATCGAAGATAAGAATTATTAAAATTGACTTTTCTACATATGTATACAAAACAAGAGAGTGTACTCTTCTTGCATACAATACGCGATATTTATATATTGCATATTATCTGCAATTTGCTATAATCGTGTCTGTATCTCTGTTCTGTCTTTGTATATCTGCTTCTGTGTCACTGTCAATTTTTTCTGTGTGTGAATGTGTGTGTATTTGTTTGTTTGTGTGTGCGTGTATAAAACACAATTTATAATTTATTACTGTCAAAATATATAATGCGAGACATCGACGCAGTGTTTGTTAACGCCCGAAAAAGTGATATATATAAAAAAAAAATTTATATTCTTCTAAATGTATGTACAACTATTTATTTTGCGTAGCTTTGTGTACGTACATGCGCGTGTGTATAGTTCTATATAACATATACTTGTGCCCGTACATTCAAGCGTATGTGTACACGCATGAAAAAAAACATCTGTATACTCTTCTATACATAACAATGAAAATCTATTTTTTCGATAAACTATTATATGTTAAAGTTAATAAAGTCATGCGTTTTTGTTATCTTATGGCCTGTACGATATACGTATGTCTGTCACCAGATGTATGTCTGACACCAGACTCACGACTCTTAAAAGTATATATCTATATAAAAAGAATAAACAAAAATAATCTTTCTAAGAATAATTTGATTAAAATAAGACGGGGAAACAGACGAAGATATTATTGGATATCAGAAAATTAGTTTTAGTTAAACGATTTAATTAGTTAAATCTAATCTATTTTCTTAGTGAAATTAACGCTTTGTACGGTTTGGGACTAGCCGTGACACCATCCATGAAGTCTTGTACGGACGGTTGTGGTTCACCAGGAACTACGGAAAAGTTGAACGTTTGCAGTAGCGCAGCCGTTATGACAAAGATGTTGCTTCGAGCTAATGTGTCTCCCATGCAACGATGACGACCTGTAAGATATATCATTTTTTATTTATCAAACTTAGAAGTATGTTCGTGTAGTATTATGTAGTTTATGCGATTATCTAGTAATTTTACAGTAACAAAGAAGAAAGGAACGCACCAATGCTAAACGGGAAATATTTGTCTGGCATAACAATTTTGCCACTACAATCGAGAAATCTTTCTGGACGGAAATCTTCTGGATCACCCCAAGACTCGTCCATAAGCACCATGTTGAAATTCACAACGAGCATCGTGTCCTGTGTGATAAATATATTTCGCTTTTATTAACTTGTATAAAATATTAAGTTTTTTTTTTATGACATTACCTTCGGTATTTTGTATCCCATAATAGAAGTGTCTCTCAACGCTCGATGAGGAACATTCATAGTTCGACCCATGAACATTCTTAACGACTCCAAGACAATAGCTTGGACATATGGCATCCTGGATAGTAAAAATATGATAATACTTTATGCAAATATTTATTCGTAGAGAAAAAATAAAATTGATAAATAATCTTCATATACTTTGGTCTGTCATCCAATGTGGGAAATCTATCGCGGCCGAGAACTTTGTCTATTTCTTCTTGCGCTTTTCTCTGAACTTCCGGGAACATTATTAGATAGAGGAATCCGAAACTAAGTGCTTTAGAAGTTGTTTCAGAACCTGCCATAAAGAGATCCATGCAGACAGCCAACAGCTGAGACTCTGAAATTTATTATTGCATAAGACCACGAAATTATTATTATTATTGCAAAAGATCGGATTCAACAATGCTTTGCTTTTATATGCACCTGAGAACGTGTCACTACAATCTTTCGAATTTAATGCAGTCAAATAGACATCCATTAGGTCCCGCGGCGCACTTGGTACAAAAGTATTTTTATGATTGTGCAATTCCTCCTAAAAAATTATTATTTTTCTAAATAATTTATCTTCGAGCATCACAAGATATTTTTTCATAAAATAATTTTGTGGTTAATAATAGAATAATTTACTTTTAAGAATGCCCACAATTCTTTGTGCACATTTATAAATGATTTGAAGCCAGACAATTCCGGCGCAATGAAACGTAGAAACGGAAAGTGACTGAAAGGCGCGCCGGTCATGTCGATCTCTTTTAGAAGCTTTGTTAAAATTCGCTGTAGATATACAAGTTCCTTGTCGCCGTAGTCATATCTATAAAAAAAATCAAGAATCATCAACAAGAGCTGATTATTTTAATATATATTTTTAAACTTTTATGAACATTTTTACGGAAGAAAATTGTAAATTCGCGTAAACGATAGAAACCTTTTGCTAGCCATCATCCTCCAAAGTGTGTTTAGTACAGTTACTCCAAAAGCGTCATCCATATGCATTATTATTCCCGTTGATTCAGATGCTCTCTTGACCTCCTCATAGTTTTCGGCTTTCATATATAAGTCCGCCGCTGTCCAAGATTTCCAATTGGACGATTCATTCTTGATTACATTCAACTCCGTTTTGTTCGAAATCAAGTTGTTCTCCGAGTCCTTTTGCAACATATATATTTTGCCAGCTTTATTATTATTATTATTATTATTATTCACTGTCACTGTATTTTGGATCTTGTAACTGTGGCTATCCTGTAGCAACTTTTTGAAATATTGCACTAGCTCGATCACTTCGTCTTGGATGATAAAAGCCATGTCGGTACGACCGAAACCAAATTCACGCAGATGTCGCAAAACAAATCGTCGTTGCTCCATCCAAAGTCGCTCATCAACAACAATAAGACCTTGAATAATCGCAAGCTATTAATTATTTTTCGAAAGATTGTCAACTGTCTATCTTCTTTTTTCAGTCCTTTTTCAGGTAATTTACCTTTTCTAGTGCCCCAAGTTCTGGCCTGATATATAGGTCCGGTCGGTCTACCATCACAGTCTTCGTTTGTTAACATTGCCCGTATACTTTCTAGATTGTTAAGAATAACCATACGGTCGCTACCAATTTTCAGACCTACGACAGGACCATACTTTTTGCATAACAACGAGCAGCTCTTGAACAGATACCCAGTTTCCTGGCGTATGCGCGCCACTTCTAGCGCACAGCCTAAGATGGGCCACCAACGTGGACCTAAAACGATAAAACACATGTATCAAAGTATAATTAATTAAAGAAAATCATTCAAAAAATCAACAAGTTATTTAATACCTGGTGGATATCCTTTTGGTTTGCGACAGCTTAGATACAGCAAGAGTAATAATATAATTACCAGAAACAATATTGTGAGAACCATCCTAAAACATTTTTATTATATATTACATATATTTATAATATATATATAAAAACATAAATAAAAATGTTTATAACACTGGTCGACAAAAAAAGCTTTTTTCACTCCATAAAATAAAATTTATAAAGTGGTTTTTATAGAAAATAGTTTCGAGTTATCAAAGATAAGGTCGCTGAAGAAGTACGCTGGTATATAATGTTTATAAATTGTTTTAAAAATAATGTAAAAATATTTAACAATATGAGGTCAGTATCGAGCTATAAAGATAGATGTGTAATATACTTATTTACTCAATGTTTATTACAATAATACGGTGCGAAACGTTTCGACATACACAGATGTCATTTTCAGTCGCAAAATACAATAATATTAAATAAAATTAAATGTGGCTGTCATAGTCGTATGCAGGCAGCATTTGACTCTTTACTTCTGACTTTTTTATTTTATATTGTGACACATACATTCCATCGCAAGGTATGTCCATCTGCCTGCATACGACTATGACAGCCACATTTAATTTTATTTAATATTATTGTATTTTGCGACTGAAGATGACATCTGTGTATGTCGAAACGTTTCGCACCGTATTATTGTAATAAACATTGAGTAAACAAGTATATTACATCTATCTTTATAGCTCGATACTGATCTCATATTGTTAAATATCTTTACATTGTTTTTACAACACGAGCGAGTATTATTTTATTTTATTCATTTTATTGTTTTAAAAATATTGATCAAATATATCTGGATTTTATTTCGTAAAAGTACAAATCTTGTAATATTAGCAATTGTCTACACTGAATACACTGATTCTACATCCCGGTAAAAAATTTTTTATATATACTTATACAAAAATTAAAATAATTATATCTAATTATGCAAATTTATATGTGCCGAATATTTCCATACAATTTTATACACGGAGAATTTCTTTTTTAAGAGAATGGCTTCAGAGATATTCCATATCAAATTACAAAATAACTCTATTAGTATCATGTTAGATACAAAAAATTATATAAAACTATATTTTTACTATATTTTAAAAAAAGTTTTGATATATAATCATATATACTTATACACAAATTAAAATTATTATATCTAATTATGCAAATTTATATATATATATATATATATATATATATACCGAATATGTCCGTACAATTTTATACATGAAAAATTTTTTACCGGGATAGAATCTCTTATATTCAATTTTTTCAACAATTTATCTATTTCTACTAAACAAATAAGAAAAACGATTATGTTTAATCAATGTTAATATTTGTTTATTTTCGGATATGCACATGCACATTTATATAGCGCGCAAAAAAGATAAAATGAGTGTTAAGTGAGAATCGAAAAGAAAGTGAAACACTTGCAGAATTGAGTGAAAGTTTTATGCGGAAGACCTAGTATTGACGTCGACTAGCGTGATTCCACAACTTCGTTATGCAATGAAACATTTAACTAGTCTTGTAAGATGATGTCTAAAATGCGAGATTACTCTTAAATTTTTTTATTTAGTTTAAAATTTTATGCACTCCCAAACAATTCGGCATTTTCCATTGAAACAATTCTTAACTTAAGAAAAAAGTACTATAAATTATTACATTTGCATATATATGTGGCACAGTCTATTTTTATTTTATTCAAAAATTGAAAGTTATTTACATATTTGGATCTTTGAAAGTTATTTTACATTTTAATTTCATTTGAAATTAAACAAATATATATTTAAAATACGCATTAATTTTTTTAATATATATATTTTTTAAGTGTATTAAACAGTTTAAAAATAAAAATGTTTCATTACGTCTTGTAAAATAAAATGTGTGTGTGTTTCGAGTTTTGAAGAAATAAAAATTGTACGCGCCACGAGGAAAGAAAGGAATTTCAACATTAATGAACTTACATTTGCGCACTCTCTGTCAACATCTTCAGTTTAAACTTACCTTACACTGGGAGAAATTTTCTCGTCTATCACATGAGTGAAACTGGCCGTGGACCAGCGTTCAGCCTGCTTTTAAACCTTTCTTCATCATGCACGTATGAGTGTACGGGCATTACGCAATATATTAAAAGCTAAGGATTGACTACAGTGGAAACGAAAACAAGTTTTTTTTTTTAAATGTAAATAGAGATGATCGGGTTTTCTATCGTAGCAAATTGAATATTATTTCACCGTTTAATATCTCTATTGACGTTTAATAAAAAACTTATTTTTTGGAACAGAAACAGAGTTGACCTGTCGAAAAATGGGTTTATATGCAGAAAAATGTTTATTGGATTGTTTTAAAACAACAAACTTTATTTTGTTATTTAGTATTTTCAATAATCGTTTCATTACTTGTATCAATTTCTTCCACGTCTTGCCAATGTAGAGGTAATCTGTCGCCCCATTTGCTGTTTCTCGCACAACGATACATGTGCCTAAAGATAAAAATCAAGTTATTTAATTAATAACATGGTAACGCACTAAACACTAATTTTGATCGTACCTTCCATGTTTATATTTTGTGAAGATCTCCTCTTTCAGTTCGCCGTTGGAAGTACACATGCGACAGATTGTGTGATTAGAACGATTCATCGTTTCTCGCACAATTCTCGGCCACTGCTCATCGTCTTCAGTTCGTTTGCCTGCAAAGAGAAAACAAAAAAGTTTTGTAAGTTTTCTATATTCGACAAAAATAATCACATAAAATCTTTTTAGTAAAAGACACTTAGTGAGAGTTAATAGTACAAATTTTTAAATTTTATTTTATATATAAAATTCTATTATCTTTACGTACTTTTCTTCAACACAACATAGGAATAGAGTTCCGATTCATGTTGATGACTGTCCAAAAATTTGAATGGATGATACAAGACTTCAAAGTTACATGGGGTAACATCTGTGGCAAATCTTGGACATTTTAAGTCGTGCGGACACTAAATGGAGAAAATGTTAAAGAATAGTATACCTTGTACTTGATGTACTTTGTCTATCTTTATGAAATTAATTTTACCAATACTCACAGGTGAGAAAATATGTGCAAATTGTATGTCGCGCTTGTATTTTGAGTTCACATACTTGAGGATAAAATCTCGCGCTTCATTCACCAACTTTTAAAGAAAAATAAAGAAGATATATAAATAGAAAGTAGAAATACATAAAAATTATATATACACACAAAATTAGACATAGATAACTAATTAATATAACTATAAATATATTTATAAATATATTTATAAAAAATAAACCTATTAAATACCTTAAAGCCTGCGTTAGTTCCTTCTTCTACAATAATTAAGTAATCTTTGGTTTTTCTCCAGAGTTTTAATATCGTTTCGAGACGTGATTCTGCACCTGGCAAGTCAAATAAAGAATATGCGCTCACTACAATATCGTAAGTGGGCTGAAAGAGAGAAACAAACACATTTCAAATTACAAGAAAACAAAAATAATTTTGGTATATATATATATATATAAAATATTTCATATTGCTCTTACATCTGCAGAGACAGGAAAATATTGGCGATAAAAAATTTTTTTAATTTCGGGCGTGGCAACTTTTGCTAATCTTTCCGACAGTTCAATCATTGGTTCTGATACTTCGACGCAAAGATATTCCTTTAGCGAGTCTGACCAAATTTCGGAAGCAGCCCTATCAAAATGTTTATTATTTTATTTCTTAGATATTATGCTAATCAATTTTGCGTTAAAATTATATATTAGATTGGTATTTTTGAAGTTTATATGATATTTTGACATTTACCACATGACTGTACCAAGGCCAGAGCCAAAGTCAAAAAGTCTTCTAGGCTTAAATTCTTTGTCACGTGCTCTGATCTCATCCAGAATCCTACGTATAACCGCATAATTTTGAACTCCTCTACTGAGCAGATACGTAAAAGAAGTGAGCTTGTCAAAATTAATTGGTTGCCAATTGTATACATTGGTCTTCAAAATTTGCCTTGCTCTTCTATTCTTATGAAAATCTATGTCTTTTATAGATATATTCTGATTACGATTAGCATTCAAATGTTTTTCTACTTTTTGTAATTTTTCCAACAGTTGTGATTGCTCCAGCGGTGGATGACGACCATGCAAATGACGGAGTAATTTTTTTACACTTTCTTTCAATTCCTTCAAGCTTATGTTATTCTTTTCTAAAAAGTAATATTATAAAATAGTGTACACAAGTTATTTTTTCATATATTATGACAAATGTTACAAATTTACAATATATTATTATATAAGTGTTTGTGAACATATTAATGATATACACAATCGTTGTATTCCGTACCTTTCAAAATATTTTCTGTTTCCTTTGATGCCCATGCTGGGAATACTGGTGTTCTAGGTTTGACAATACCAGGATGATGCCTATATTTTAGATCATTGTTAGAAATCAAATTCAATGTTTCATCATCGAGTATAGCTTTTGGCTTTGCTGACAACTGAAAATGCAATTTTTATATTATCATATTCTAATCTTATTTATTACACACCTAAGCACACACGTGATGTCATATGATAGAGAAAATTTATATCATACTCACACATCGTGAGGGTACAAATCCTGTCCAATGTACTCTTGGCACAACTAGCTTCACCATATTATATACAATAAAATTAAACCCCTCTCAATAAGTCAACAATTCACACATTTGTCATTAAAAAAATTCAACCTGTATGAAAAAAAAAAATAAAACAATATAACACTACATTAAAAAATTTATAACACATATATAAATACAAGAGACCGAAGAGACACGTTGTTAAATAAAAGTACTACGTACTATTAACAATCCCGCGAATGTTTATAATGCGCTACATAACCTCCACGAAATTTGAGTGATCTTTCGATAGAATTTACGTACGACACACTAACAAATATCGTAACACGTAACAAAATAGCAAAAGAAATTTAACTGTTGTCTATGCTTACCGAAAAACTCGCGAATAAAACTCGTATCTACAATGCAATCGCCCGGTGAATTAAAATTGTTCCGAAAATAATCCAACGTGATCAGTAATCTCGTTCGCGCGTGAATGACAACTTGACTGTCGCGTGCACATCAAGCGCGTCGCAATCGTTTTGACGCCTATTTTTCGACTCAATTATGAAGTTCGCGGAACACCTGAGTGCTCACATCACACCGGAATGGAGAAAGCAATACATCAATTACGAAGTAAGATTTTCATCATTGACAAATATCATGCGAATACAGTTTTGCATACATATTTTACGTTTTGCGCAATATTTGCGTTTTATGGACATTTTTGTGCACTTATGTATACATGTACATGCTGCAAATAATAGAATATATATATATTATTTATATTGATTCTAATTGTGTTATAAAATATTAATTTTTTTAAATATTATACATATAGTATATAAAAAAAATTATATATGTATAAAATTAAGTACATATAAATATATATAATGTATGTATGTATGTATAGAATTGTCTCTGATATTTTTAAAAGTCTGAAAAATATGTATTTTTGATATAAATTATGTTATTTTAGGAAATGAAGGCTCTGCTGTATGCTGCAGTGGAACAAGCACCATCAGCAGATACAAGCGAGGCTCATGTGCTAGAAAGTTATTTTAGTAAATTTGACGAGAAGTTTTTTCATTATTGTGACAAGGAACTAGCTAAAATAAATACGTTCTATTCTGGTAAAGTCAATAGTTTTCATTAGTGTTGTATCTCTTTGTGTCAGAAGATATTCTCTGTAGCAGTTGCTGACTTGATGCACAACTGACTGTACAAAGGATAAGAGAAAATGATCTATTTTCAGAAAAATTAGCAGAAGCCACACGTAGATTTGCCACTCTTAATAACGAATTGAGCGAGATCTTGTCAGTTTCCGACGATGCTCAAAGTCACAAGGCGCGCTATCGCAGACACATTCTACATAAAAAGCCGGTATCAGCACGCAAACTGCAAGAAGTAAAGTTAGCTTTTTCGGAGTTTTATCTCTTTCTCATTCTGCTTCAAAACTATCAGAACTTGAATTTTACCGGATTTCGAAAAATCTTGAAGAAACATGACAAAGTACGTCCGGTTTGTTACAAGCACGTTTATAATTTTAAAATATTTCATATAAAATGTAGAAAAGAATTGCTCGAATCGATTCTATATAGAAAACGATCGTATATATTCGAGATGTTGATACTTTGCAGCTTTTAAATGCGGACGTTGGTGCCAAATGGCGTGCGGAGCACGTCGACACGGCACTATTTCACACACACAAAGATATAGACAGGCTCATTGTGGAAACTGAAGCGCTAGTCACACGAGATTTGGAGCATGGTGACCGTCAACGGGCCATGAAGCGACTCAGGGTACCTCCTCTCGGAGAGCAGCTTTCTCCATGGATCACATTCAAAGTCGGTCTTTTTTCCGGCGCTTTTGTTATACTTTTAGTAGCCGTGATATTGTCCGGTGAGAGAGAAACACATGTTTCTTTTTTATTATCGATATATCAATATTTTGATATTTTATATATTTGCTTTATATATCAATTTCATGTGTGTTTTATGTTTAGGTATGCGATATAAAAATAAAGACAATTGGAGAGTATTGTGTCGAATCTATCGTGGGCCATTTCTTCTGATAGAATTTCTTCTTCTGATGGGAATCAACGTTTACGGCTGGAGATCTTCCGGAGTGAACCACGTGCTAATATTCGAACTTGATCCACGCAACCATTTGTCGGAACAGGTTTCTTTGTAGCAAATTAAAGCAATGCTTCCTAAGCTATTACAGTAGAATATGATTATAAATTTAATCTAAGCAAGATTTTTTTAATGAATTTTATACAGCATATAATTTCAGCACATCATCGAGATGGCAACCATACTCGGCCTAGTCTGGTCCATGTCTATTTTGGGGTTTTTGTATAGCGATACGTTAGGTGTACCGCCATTTGTTCAACCAGTAAGATCATGTATATTTCAAGTTTTGAATATTTATTAATGAAGTTTTCATTGTTTATTATATAAAACGCAACGAGCAATTATGATACAAAGCAAAGAATTTATATTTCTTTATCTTAAAAAAGACAAAAACTAAAAATTTATATATTTCAATTTTTTGAAGGTGCTGTTTTACGCAATGCTAGCGCTTTTTCTATTTAATCCCACTAAAACGCTGCGACACGAGGCCAGATTTTGGACACTGCGCGTTATGGGTCGTATCTTTTGCGCGCCTTTCTTCTACGTGGGTTTCGCAGATTTCTGGCTCGCCGATCAGCTCAACTCTCTTCATACAGTCTTCTTGGATTTTCAATATTTCGTCTGCTTCTACATCCAGAACTCCTCTTGGACCGATGTCACAGGTCTATATGAATTGCTCAATGTATATTGTAACAGTATTTGTTTTTTTTTTAATATAGTTATAGTTTTTACTAGAATTCTCTCTCTTATACATTCTGTTTTTCAAAATTCTACAAATATATTATGTTTTTGAATAGATACGGAAACTTGTATAATGCGTGAATTATCAATGAGACCAATTGTCGTGTGTTTACCAGCCTGGTTTCGGTTTGCACAGTGTCTCAGACGTTATCGGGATACAAAAGAGACATTTCCGCACTTGTTGAACGCGATCAAGTACGCTACGAGCTTCTTCGTAGTTCTTTTTTCCTACTTACATTTGAGGAACAAAAGTAAGTATTTCGCTTAGTTAACGCAAAAAAATTTTTGATCACTAACTCCTAAACTTGACTGTTCTTCAATAACAGAATATTACGCATTGTCCACTGAAAATCCGTACTTTTACTTGTGGCTTACGGCCAGCGTGGTGAGTTCGTGCTTCACGTATACATGGGATGTAAAGTTGGATTGGGGTCTTTTCGACAGTAGCGCAGGCGAGAACAAGTTTCTCAGAGAAGAGATAGTTTATTCATCACCCGTGAGTTTGTTTTCTCAGCATCTTCCGTTGTATCACTAATAATATATTATCAGCGATAACATTCACCTGTTTATGTAACTGATGGTTACATATTATCACATTTTTTTTGTTTCAGTATTATTATTACTTCGCAATGATCGAAGATTTTATTCTGCGATTCGGATGGGCGTTTTCCTTGTCCTTGACAGAAATGGGCTACGTTCACGCAGATCTCATGGTCACTCTGATCGCCCCATTAGAAGTCTTCAGGTAAGTGCAGACTTCACTTTGTGCTTATAAATGCACGTTGGAATGTTTTTTTTTTTTTTTTAATCGTTGTTTCGCTATATTGACAATTGATATAATATACTGTTTGTCGTAATTTTTGCATGAAATATATAAATTACTCGCATTACTCGGAGAAATATAATTAATTGTGTCGATAATCGGAAAAAACGTCGACTCGATGTCAACAATAAGCCGGCCGGTCTAATCGCTTATCAAGTGCGCCTCACTAATAAGTCGCTAGAAGGTTTATGTGGAATTACTTTCGGCTGGAGAACGAACATCTGTACAACGTAGGCAAGTTCCGGGCAGTGCGAGATATTTTCGTAGAGCCCATCAGATACGACGACGATCTCAGAACCATGATTCATCTAATGGATAACGAGAACAATGGGAATAACAATAATCACAACAACGAGGACGACGGCGATGACAATGATAACGGATTAGCGGAGTTCCTATGATCGCCAGTGTCTGATACGTTGTAATTTATGTTTTGTTTTTTCTTTTAATTTTATACTCAAATTTTAAATATTATGTATTTTTATATATCATATATAATTGTGATATATAAATTATCACTAAATTCCACTGTCTAATTGTTAAATTTATATCATATCAATCTTAAATTCACATTAAATGCGTGAGTTTTTCTCAACGAAAATATTATTACGTTTCGCTGTATTGATTGCGTAATATATTACTGACGTAATGTACGCTGACAACGATATGTTTTCTCGACAGGCGTTTCGTGTGGAATTTCTTCCGCTTGGAGAACGAGCATTTGAACAATTGTGGCAAATTTAGAGCGGTGCGGGATATTTCAGTGGCACCGGTCGATTGTTCGGATCAGACGCAGATATTGCGCATGATGGATGCTACGGACGGTGTAATAAATCGCAGAAGAAAACAGAAAATTGACGAGAAACGCAAACCGATTCGATTGCTCTTGAAGGGAGAGTCTTTGATGGAGGATAATTAAAGACCGTCAATTATCAATTTAGCTGATATAACGTTTTATGCACAGCTAAATCCAAACTTTTGTATCACAACTGTCTAACTGTCTAACTTTTTTCCACGTATTGTATCATGTTATCCAATCTGTTGAAAAAATCGCGCAGAGAGATCTCACACACGGATTTTGACGTACGTCGAGAACCACGTGACCGAATCATTTATGTGAAATGTTAAATGAATTACTTTATCGATGTGATTATAGAGATTTATGAGCGATGTTATATATTTGTAAGCAAGTAACAAATTGGTGTAACTTGTCATTGAGAGTTTAAACTGATCTGTCGTTAAGTTACAAAAAATGAACTATATCGGACCCAGAGAGATAAAATAAACAATTGTTACAAAGTAAAACTTTGCGTTTTTAAGAAATTATATTTCGCAGACATGTATCCCATTATAATATATTATGTATGTGTGTGTATTTGTCTAATATATGATATACTACTAGGGGGAGAGTCAGAGGTTTGTTCCCTCTAACTCCTTTGCGATTGGCAATCTCGTTATCGATTTTTATATCTCAGAGATATCGCTATCTCACTTTTATGCCAAACATAATATCTAAAGCAATCTTTTCATATTATAATATATTATGTGTGTGTGTATTTGTCTAATATATAATATACTAGTAGGGGGAGAGTTAGAGGTTTGTCCCCTCTAACTCCTTTGCGATTGGCGATCGTTATCGACTTTTATATTTTAGAGATATCGCTAATGTCCGATATTAGGTGCTGTCCGCCGCTAGAGGAACTCCCTTTATCAATCAAATTTTTATCAGCAGCCGTTCATATTAACAAAAACAAAAAAAACAAATGTTTTGCTTGTAAAAAGCCCAAGAAAAGTTTTTCTAAAATCTAAAAGAGAGAAGCAGAGCAACGTCAACATTTGCGCTGCCAAATGAACCGAAGAAGGGTAAATGTTATCAGATGGGGTGAAAGTGATTCGGAAATGCAGCGCCTGATAGCCGGAACAATGTCTCACATATATGCGACGCAAAAGCGCACATGAACGCTAATGACACAGAGACAGCTGCTTAATAACATTTAATGCGCTCGTGATAATCGCCGGCGCATGGCGGTAGAAACGTTGTGGAAGGAGGAAGACGAGGAGACCAGGAAGAGAGGAGGGCTGAGATTTCGCGAAACAAGGCATGGGAGTATTTGTTCGCGCAACGTCGGAGCGAGACGCTCCCGCGATCTGCGTGGGAGGGTAAAAATTGGCGGTGGTGTCGTTTATTGATTGAATCCGCGGAAGCCGCGCCGAACCGCGCAAACTCGTCGTCGGCACCCTGAATGAAGTGACGTGCTTCTGTCGCATATGGAAACGCGAATAAAGCGACGATAGAACGTGTGCTGCGTGCGGAAGCCATCAGCAGCTGATCAACAGCGACGACGACGACGACGACGAGAGGATGCTCCTTCAGAGGGGCTGCACTTGGCTGACGCTGATGCCGCTCCTGCTGAGTTTATCCATTGGCGAGCTCAGCTTTTATCGAAGTAAGTAAGACAGAAGGGGAGAGAGAAAGAGAGAGAGAAAGAGAAGTCTATGTCCTCAAACGAGACAACGTCTCCAGGGGGAATGACACTACACTGCCGAGGACCCACTTGTAGCCTTTTGAGGCGGTGCCGTCTTTTAATCCGCAACGATCAATTCAGCTGAATATTAAAATACTGTTTACAAAAAAAAAAGCCTTTTATCTGCAAAATGTTTCTCGTTTCTCGAGTTTGCGACAACAATATGATATTGGAAAATGAGATTGTTAGGACGCAGCTCATATCGTCATGTTTTGAATATATATAGAATATAAACCGCAGTGTATGTCTTTTCGAATATATAATGTAGTATTTTTTTTATGCAAAATTTATGCAAGAAAAGTAAAAAAACGGAACACAACTGATAATTAACATCGCAAAATTATTTATCTTTATTCTTTGTTCTTGGCTTTATTTTACTGAAAATAAATCAACTTTATCAAACTTTGCGGTTTTAAAGTCTGCGTTCTTTTCTTCTTCTTTTTGTTTGTTTATGAAAAAATTTATTCAAGTATAACTCATGAATCTTGAAAACGCGTGTAAATACACGAGATGATGTCTTACCTTATATTGTAGTGCGAATAAAAAAGGATTTTAATAATTTGCGATAGAGATTGTAAAAATTGATGCGTGTGCGGAGATAATCTTCGAAATGATTACTTGGAAGGTGCAAACACGCGTGGTGGATTGGACAATTCGAGACTCGAAGGTCAAGAGTCAATTGCGACACTGTTTGTGATGCGATTAGAGTTCGATCCGGCCGGTGACCGATACATATAACAATTTCTACGAGTACGGAATTTTGCGTACCCATAGAAAAAGCTCTTTTGCCGGGAACGTGCGGGCGATTATGCCGCGCGTTCGTGTTATCGTGGAACACGTTTTTATATCGCGGCTGCAGGAAACCCGTTCGCATATTATACAACAGGAAACCATAAGCGATAATAAATAACTCGAAATATGAGAGATGCAAACTTGAACGCGTAATGGTTGTTGATTTATTTCTATTTTTTTTTTGCAGGATAAAAGTCCTGCATTATCCTTTCCAAAAAAAAAAAAACTATCTTTCTTCTATAAAGAGCTAAATCTAATATGAAGATAATAATGATAAAAACAGTATGTAGCGTCCGGTGCAATCCGACGTAGATTTTAAAATATTTTTATTTTTAACTTACGTCTGTGTGTAACGTAGAATATATTATTGAAAATAAAGTAAAATTATTGAAATGAAAAAAAATGAATAAATGATTTTGGTGACATATTGCGCGGTGCGCGCGACAAAACCTCTAACTACAAAAACTAAAACTACAGAAACTTAACTACACACACAGTTCAAGTTGAGTTTCAGCTTCGCGGCGCATTTGTCAGATGTACAATTCAAGTTCAAACTTTGCCGATATCAAATACATCTAGCTTGAAATGTATTGCGGGAAAGGAGAATTTTAGTTTCTCGTATTGATATAAAACTAATTTACAAAGTTAAATTCATATCAAACATACGGAACGTTAAATGAAGAAAGAAATAAGAACCCAACAAACATTTCGGTCACAGAACCATATCCATCTGTGTCCTCAGTAGGATATGGTTTGGTAATCATGTCTGTCAACATGTGAAATGTCAAAATGCGACCAAAATGATGACAGAGTCTGCCACAAGCAAAGCGAAGTCAAATTATCGCCAAAGTGA